GAGATTTCGAAACTACCATTACTATGAAAAAATTCCTCCTCTCCGCATTATAGGTTGTTAAAAAAAAAAAAAGACTTTGAAAAAGGAATGTGAGCCGTTGGTTCATAAACGGCCTGAGATGGAAGTAATGATCAAATAGCATGAAATGAAAATAATGCACCGCCTGACATGCACATGCACCTTCTGAAAAATCACGTGTAAGTGTTCTAGTCTTCTAACAAGTAAAAATTCTTTCTTTATTTAAAAAAAAAAAAATCTTTCTCTATCTTAGTTTTTTTTTTTAAATAATGAGAGAAAACTCTCATTGCTCTAATCCAAAGAAAAGCTAAATTTGATCGACAGAAATCATTCATTTTGTTCGGGTGCCATTATAACAACTGAACAATAGAAGTGGTGAAATCAAAGATATACTCTTGGTTTTACACGCCCTCCCTGATGAACCAAAATAGCATCGAAATGGAGCAAAGGAAGGGCCGGCAGATTGTGTTCTTCCCACTACCGTTGCAAGGCCATATAACTCCCATGCTTCAGCTTGCAAACATCCTTTACACCAAAGGCTTTTCCATTACCATCATCCACACTCACTTCAACTCTCCCAAACCCTCAAACTACCCTCATTTCACCTTCCACTCTATACCAGACGCACTGTCTGAAAGTGATGGCCTCAATTCAGATTTAGTGGCTGTCCTCTACCACCTCAACACGAACTTGGTCAAACCTTTTCATGATTGCTTGGCTAGGTTGTTATCTGAAGACCATAAGGATCCTATTGCTTGCTTAATCACAGATGCTATGTGGCAGTTCACTCAGGCTGTTGCAAATAAGCATAATGTCCCAAGGATTGTATTAAGGACCACCAGCATCTGTTCCTTTCTTGCTTTTGCCGCCTTGGATCTGCTGCGTGAAAGAGGTTACATGCCATTAAAAGGTGCAAACTTAAATCTCCTGTTCTATGTGATGCCTCATCATGTCTGTCATAAACTAATAATCTAATAAGGTATAAAAGCTTACTAACTGTTCACATCAATTTGGTATTCGTTGGTTGCTTTTAGTTCATCAATTTTCATCTTTCATCTTGTATATGCATCTATATGTCTTGATATGCCCTGAGTTGGAAAAAAAAAAAAGAAAAGAAAAAGAAGCGTTCTTCAGGTTAGTTCCTTTTTGCTGATTTAACAGGAGGAGTCTAGTTAAATGTTTCAATTCAACTATGTGCTTTGTGAGTTAAAAGTCTCAATCTCAAGTAATAGAACTTAAGTCTACCATCAGAGTCAGATCTGAACAATATGGACAAACTGCTTGTCCTAATGTTTCCTTGAACCAATTGATTCCTAATTTTCTGTTATAATTCCAATGTATCAGCACATGGTCATCTTCAAAGTTCAAACTAATTTTTGTCTTCATTATTTTTCTTTCCTTATGTTTTGTCTCGTTTGTTCCAAAGATTCTTTGAATTTGACATAATCTTTAAGCTTTAGATGCCTGTACTTGTTATTAATTTCTGCAATAAAATTTTCTAAGTTTTTTAACCTTTTGTCTTCAGATTCTGAACTAGAAACCCCAGTTCCAGAACTTCCACCTTTGAGGGTCCAAGACCTTCCAGAAATCAAAACAAGTGATCTGGAACACTTTTATGGATTGTTGGCTAATGTAATTAAAGAAACAAAGGCTTCTGCAGGACTCATATGGAACTCCTATGAAGAACTTGAACAGGATGCTCTAGCAACAAGTCGTCAGGTTTTTCGCATTCCAAACTTTGTAATAGGTCCATTAAATATGTATTTTCCAGCTGCTTCTAGTAGCTTACTGTCTCAAGACAAGAGTTGCATGTCTTGGCTAGACAAACAGGCACCAAATTCTGTGCTCTATGTCAGCTTTGGGAGTATAGCAGCTGTTAGTGAGACTGAATTCTTGGAGATAGCCTGGGGGTTGGCTAACAGCAATCAACCCTTCTTGTGGGTGGTTAGACCAGGCCTAGTTCGCGGCTCAGAATGGCTCGAACCATTGCCAAGTGGGTTCATGGAAATGCTTGGTGGGAGAGGTCATATTGTGAAGTGGGCTCCCCAACAAGAAGTGCTGACTCACCCTGCCACTGGGGGGTTTTGGACTCATTGTGGGTGGAATTCAACATTGGAGTGTTTATGTGAAGGGGTGCCTATGATCTGCCAACCTTCTTTCGGAGACCAAAGGGTAAATGCAAGGTATATAAGCCATGTTTGGAGGGTTGGGTTGCACTTGGAGTACAAGCTGGAGAGAGTGGAAATAGGAAGGGCAATTAAGAGACTAATGGCAGAGAAAGAAGGTGAAGAAATGAGAAACAGAATCAGGGTTTTGAGAGAAAAGACGAATTCTCTTCTAAACCAAACAGGTTCCTCTTCTCAATCCCTGGAAAAGTTGGTTACCTACATATTGTCATTCTAGGAAATCAATTAATTTAAGCTTGTTTTGTTTATGTTCCAAAATAAATGAAGATGTTAATTGTCAATGTAACCTGGAAGTAGAGGTCTTACCTTTGAATCATGAAGCATAGAAAAACGGTAAAGAAAAAGCGAGAGGGTGACCCACTAATCAAGAAAATAAATGAAAATCAATTCAATTCTAACATATATATTTTTTGAAATAACATAACATACAAATGAAATAATTGAAAAATCACGTTTGTAATGGGCTGAGTCAGTTGTCACAACGATTAGGTTGGGCTGGGACACTTTTTTGAGTTTCGAGATCTGCTTAAACTATCCAATGGGCTCGAAGTTCCTAGAAAATTCTGTAAAGGAAAAGAAGTTTGTGGAAGAATAATAGAAGTTCGGTGACTTTAACAGAGTTGATGACCCGTATGCTTTGAAGCGCCACGTAGATCCTAGAAATCACCAGAATCGTCCATCTCCTCCCTATATTAGAAACGCCCGTCTTCCTTCCTCAGTCATCAAGAAATCGATTGCAGTTGTTTAGCGGAAATTCCATCAGCGAAATCAACAGCGATGTCTCTCATTCCAAGCATCTTCGGTGAACGGAGGAGCAACATCTTTGACCCTTTCTCTCTAGACATCTGGGATCCCTTTGAAGGTTTCCCATTCAACAGCACCGTTGCAAACGTTCCTTCCTCTGCTCGCGAGACCTCGGCGTTTGCCAATGCTAGGATTGACTGGAAAGAGACCCCGGAGGCCCACATTTTCAAGGCTGATCTTCCCGGACTCAAGAAGGAAGAGGTGAAGGTGGAGGTCGAGGAGGGTAGGGTGTTGCAGATCAGTGGAGAAAGGAGCAGAGAGGTGGAAGACAAGAACGATACGTGGCATAGGGTTGAGAGGAGCAGTGGCAAGTTCTTGAGAAGGTTCAGGTTACCGGAAAATGCAAAGATGGATCAGGTTAAAGCAAGCATGGAGAACGGAGTACTCACCGTGACTGTGCCTAAGGAGGAAGTGAAGAAGCTAGAGGTCAAGTCTATTGATATCTCCGGCTAAGCTGCCATCGCTGAACTCACCTCTCCTTCGATTTGGATAATGTCTGTCATCTGATATGTTATATGTCAAAGTTATATGTCTGGTGCTTTGTTTGTCTGAAAATATGTGTGCACGTAATGGTAATGCCTATTGTGTGAAGTCTAAGTCCCTTTCTGTTCTGTGTGTAAGAATATTTGAGGCAATTTAATACTTAAAGCAGTGTGTAGTCTTTGAAAAGATTTCAATTTTACATTTCAATTTTACTACCGACAAAACTTATCTAAAAAAAATCTTAATCTAAGGTTAATAAGAGTAGATGTTGAAATCTTCGAAAGGCGAAATCCAGTGGATGAATGCAGTAGAGAAGAATTGACATCAACATTGTAACAAAATTTTCATTAATTAACAGAGAACCGCAAGAGCTGGCAGATACAAATACAAATTCATATATTCCGATCCTATCATTCTTAAGAAACTCAGATAAATCTTAAATAAGCACTTAACGTTGGCCATTTTTTCCTCCGGTTTGGGAACGAACGTGATGGTATTTGTACAAAAGGTTGAGAACTGGAGATCAATTTACAAGTCCTCGTCATCCTCTGATTCATCAGAATCATCAACATCTACAGCTACTACCTTAGAAGCACTAATTCTAGAAGGAACGGCTCTAATCTTGAAAGGCAACCGTGCATTTCCCTCGTAAACACCACACCCTTCTTCTTCCTCTTTCTTCAGGTCACTGGGCGGCAAGAAACAGTCCATGGACAACCCCTTTATGTTGAAGTCCACTTCCTCAATTGTCCAAACCTCCTCCATCCTTGTCCTGGAATGGCTGTCAGAGTTCTCACCAAACCTGAACAGGGACACCCAAGTCTGACCGGCATGAGCAACGCTAATCCCGTCAACGTTTCTGTAATCCTGAATGGAGGACTCCATGGATGTTTCCCAATAGACGCTGTCATTTCCAGGGGCTTTGATCCTTAGAAGATGAGAATCCTCAAGTTGGACCAAGAGCCCTGTTTTTTGACTGAAGTGGCCCCAGACAGTATGCCGGATTATCTCGACATTGCTGCTGCTTCTTGCTCTCAATGATGAGGATTCAGCCTCAATTCTTAATATGAAACAGTCTTCATCATTGATTGTTTTCTCGCCGACGCAAACAGAGTCTGAGAACAGGTTTGCTGTTGAGCTCGGATCAAGCCCCTGTTCAGTTTGATTAAAAAAATTAAAATTAAACAGAGAAAAACAGAGCGTGTTTGTAACACATTAAGAATATTAGCAAAATAGGACCAAATGTGGACCCTATTGTTTGGTAAGGTAGACAGGCTATCCACCAAACAAGGCGTGGGGGACAAAGGGAGGCAACGTACTGGGGTGATACAGTTTAGTGCAGGGTCAAAAAGATGGTTGATTGAAGTGCACATGAATTTCAGGGTGAATTTGATCAATAATGCGACTACAGGGTCCACTAGACTCAAAAACAGAGTACCCCTAACAATCAGTGACGAGGGCAGGTTATGTATTCCCAGAAATAGGAAAATTATTAATCAATCTGAAACCACCAGAAGAGGGAAAATTATGAATCAATCTGAAGATGATCAGAGGGTAGGGAATGGAGATGAGATACCTGGAAGAAACGGCGGAGAGGTCTAGGAGGACCTCTGGATGCGTGAGAGTGGTGCCAGGGGGTCTGCCGCCAGGCTACCTTGCCATCACTACCGGCGCTGATCTTGCAACCTGAAACCAACTGCTCCAAGCACCAAAGCTCAGGCCTTTTTTGCCACAGCACGAATCCTCCTACTTCTCCACCTCCATTCCTCAAGTTCTTCACTTTCACCACCTTGTTGTTTAAGCCTCCTTCTCCAGAACAGAATTCTGTCACCCCCATCTTCACCTTCCCCATTGCATACATGCTGTCTATCGAATTCAAAGCCTTCTCTCCCCCTACAGCCGCAACATACTGTTTCACTATGTACTTCGCCATTGAAGCCTCCTGCAAACATATCAAAATTCAACCCAGATTAAATCAAACAACAAATTTTGATTCAAAAAAAATGAAATCAAAATGGTGGAAAGGGTTACAATTGGTTGATCCTTGATGTTTCTGTTGACGTTATGATCATTTTCAACCTTGACCATCGGAATCAACGGAGCTCCAACAACCCCAAGCAAGAGTTGGATCTCTGTGTTTTCCCCTCCAAAAAGAGCAGTCATGGATTCCGGTGACCTCCTGGCGCTTGATTTCACCCAAGATATCATACTCTGCCACGAACGGTGGCTGTTCTTGTTGGTTGAGAACATTTCTTCTGGAATTGGGACCTCCAACACCGTATCCAACCCATCTTCACGATCAAAATTAGGACAGAGCTTCCTCATCAGATAAACTGAGAAAAGAAAACAAAATTGGATTTTTGGTTATGGCACAGAAAGAAAGGAGAAGTGACTGCAAAGTAGAGAGAGGAGGGGTGCAGTGCAGCTTCCTCTTGAATTATACCAACCGACCTTGTAACGTGGTCCACTTTTGTCTCTGTCGTGTTAGCACGCTCCCTCCTCCTTTCTCTGTTTTAAGAAACTTTATAATCCAAAGTTCATTTCTTTATATAAAACCGCAAACTAATTAATACACAAAACAAAACTCGAAACAGAGTAACTGTATCAAATAAATAGATACGTAACAAATCACGGCACTTTGGTATAAAACTGTGACATAAGAGTTTTTTTTTTTTTTTAACTCTCTTACGCCTAAAAGTTATATTAAATTTTAATTAATTAAAAAA